AGTATCTGTCTACATCCTATCCAGAAGTATCTTTTCTATTCCTGAGCTGCAGTCCTCATACTCCACTGTATTAGCTGCTGGGCCTTCTGTAGCTCTGGCTACAACAATCTGAATCCCTCCGGTCTCTATCTAATACCTTGGCTAAGTCTCTCCTAACCACCTTCCCAGCTCTCAGTATGATGAAATATTTTTGACATACTATGTATTTTATTTACAGTGCTACTCTTGTGCCCTTACTCTCACCCACTCAGACTTTGTCTTTGTCCTGTGTTTGCTGTTTATTATTTTAAGCCAAACTACTTAGCTCTATTCATCCAAACTATTAATGAACACTTCCGGCCCTATGGCCTATAAACTTCATTTAATTTAATCACATACTCTTATAACCCCTGATATTGCCATTTAAGTCTCTGAGGAATATCTACAAATATTTCTCTTACCTTTCATCACCTTTCTCCTAATGATTGACAATATACTAAATTTGCCTTTTGAAAAAATCTGAGTACAATTTTAACAATTATCATAATTATGTCATAAAATAGATCACTTGCACAGGCAATTTTACGTATTTTATTTTGAGGGTACTAAGTTTACAGTTTTTCTAAAGTCAAAAATTAGAAAATATGTATAAGGCAATATTCAGAAATATAGAAATGCTGCATCTCTTTCCAGAACTGAGCATCCTATATCAACACCCAAGATGATTGTGTGGTAATCTCTTGGGATTGGCTTGGGAGCCATGTTATACCTTTAGCCCCTGGCGTGAACAATGTGGATTGAATAATTTGACCTTTGTGAAAGAAAAACATATATTGGTCCTTGATTACTCTTTTCATTAAAATTTTTTTTTCTTATTGCTATGTATTTGGGGAGGAAAATAGAAAAAAAAAAGAATGGTTTTAAAAAGCAGAACTACCAACGAGAGAACACTGAAACTACTTTTAGTGCACTGTGCACAGTATATCCTTCTAGATCTTTTGCTGTGTACGTTTATACCTTTTTCCCCCATAAGAAGATAATATTCTGAACATATAATTTTATTTTTCATATTCCCTTTATTTGCCTCTTGTGCAGGGAAATCACAGATCATCTCACAAATCCAGGTTTCCATAACGGCCTAGTTTAGCAAGAATAGATAGATAAATAGATAGGTAGATAGATAGATAGATAGATAGATAGATAGATAGATAGATAGTAGAAAGAAAAATAGGAAGGAAGGAAGGAAGGAAGGAAGGAAGGAAGGAAGGAAGGAAGGGAGGAAGGAAGGAAGGAAGGAAGGAAAAGAAAGAATGGATAGCCTATGGGGTCTGAATTGATCTGTGACCCCTAGCAGTAGGGTAAATCCATATTTGGTATGCGGACCAGCCAAAGCTAGCTGCAAATATCTGCTTCTTCTATCCCTCGCCCTATATTAAAAACATATTTGATTTCAATAGATACTTATTTACAACAGCATTTTCTAAGGTACACTCTATTTTATTGATGAACATATCTTACTTAAATACCCTTAACTATTGGACACTTGTGGGATTTTCCCTTGGGTGTATGAGTGTGTTGTTATAGTCAATTCTGCAGCAAATATTATTGTTAAATCTGTACACATTCTAAGTTTTCCTTTAGGATGTACTTAAAAGTAGAATCAATAGTTTAAAAGCTAGGCTGTTTTTTTTTTTAAGGTTTTTGATACATATTGCCAGCTAGTCCTTCAGAAGTCCATCACTGAGACCCACACTAGCATTGTTGGAAATTTACTATATCACCAGATCCTTAGAAATGGTCTTTTTTAAAGTAACTGATAATGTAATAGACCTGTGCTTTCTTAACTACACTAAGCATTCCAAATGATCACCCATGTTTACAGACTTTTTCTTACAGCAAGGTACTCCATGAATCAAGAGGCACAAAACTTTAAACATTTTGTTTGATAGCTTGCTTGCTTGCTTGTAGGTGTAGGTGGTGAGGAGCAGGGAAAGTCAAGGAAACCAGTAGTGATACCCTAGCCTCAGTCTCCTTCTTCTCAGAACATAGCACTGGAAGGCAACTATTCAAAACTCATTCCTGATGATCTCGAAGTTTCTAGAAGATGAAGAATAGATCCATCTTACAAAACTTTTAGTAACCTTTTTTGTAGATAATGCATTATCAAAGTTGTTAGGTTGAAGAGGAGTATACTTCCATAGAACCAAATTGTCATTAAAATATTTATCTACAAACTGATTTATCAGCTCTAGTATTTTATTGTATCCTGCTTAATTTTGGACAAGTTCTTTATAGCTTTTATATGCAACCGTGAAAATTAAAAATGCAAAAATTATAAGGTATAATAAACAATATTTTGTGAGTATATCTTTTTCTTCCTTGGTAGATATTAGCTTAAGTGGCTCTGTTAGAAAGGCATATGTTTGAGAGAAAGATGCCTACATGACAGGAGTACTAGGTTATTCTGACATGTTATATGGAGTATGTTATTATTTTGAAAGCCTGAGTTTCAACTAAACTTTAACTTTTAAAGGCTATGCCATGCCTTTTCTGATGACAGCATATTATGAAAATCATAGGTTGCATTTCTGTGTTTATTTGCCCACAATCCACAGAATAAGAAACACCATAAGGCAGCAAAACATTAAATAGTTTAAGGGAACCTTACAGATATGCCAGTTCAAGATGTTTAATGGATGCCCAATGGATGATGGTGGTGGTGATGGTAAGGGGTGATAATAATAGGGAGAAGGAAGGGGAGAATAATTTTTGGAGCTCTTATGTGTCTGGCATTCTGCTCAGTGCTTTACTTACATTTTCTCATTTATTAAGTGAGGAAATTAAGTTTCAGAAAGGCTAACAACCCTCCCCAATGAATCAGCCAAAGATCAAACCCAGATTTCCTGACTCTCAGTGCAGTCTATTGTCCATTATATAATGCCGGCTGTATTAAAGACATTGTAGACATTTTAATTTCAAAAGTTTTTAAGTTTATAATTACAAATATCATTTCTATTAATGCAGCTAAGTTTTTAAAGAAAAACTGAAGAGCTTTAGCCTTATTTTATCTGTTGCCCATATTCCCTGATAAAAATTGTTATTATTTTAATTTATTACATTTTTACTTTAGTTATATATATTATCTCTATTCTCTAAGGTAAGAAGGGAAAATAAAATAATCTAATGTTACAAATGAAGAATCTGAGGCTCAGAATAATTAATTCTTCTAAGGAAGTCAGTTAAGTAATGGCAAAACTGGAAGTCAAGCCCACATCTGTTTGCCCCCAAAACTCTATTTTATTCTATTGTTGTTTATTAAAGAATAGCAGCATCAAACAAGCTTGCAAATTATCAATTTGGGGTATTATAGAAGCATATACACTGTTCTGTCTTTTGGCCTATTTATGTCTCATTTCTCCTTAAACTAATATGAAGGGTAAAATAGTCCAGTTTACTATATATTTTTTTAAATTTGGGGGGCACCTAGGTGGCTCAGTTGGTTAAGCTACCGACTTCAGCTCAGGTCATGATCTCTAAGTTTACCAGTTCAATCCTCATGTCGGGGTCTGTGCTGACAGCTCAGAACCTGGAGGCTGCTTTGGATTCTCTCTCTGTGCCCTTTCCCTACTCGTGCTATCTCTCTCTCTCAAAAATAAATTTAAAAAAAAATTTTTTTTTTAATTTTATACTAGGCCTTTCCCCTCTTAAATGCTTGGAGAAAATGTACATAAAATTAACATGTGGTCCTGGAGTAGATTTTACTCTAGGATGCAGTAAAAAAAAATTGGGGTGGGGGGGTGGTTGGGAGGAAAGACCAAGAAATTGAATTAGAAATAAGAGCTTTCCTCAATAGGTCAGTTTTCCAATTCTCACTCTTTAAATGATACATAAAGATATTTCTAATGTTTCTTGATTTTTTTCTTTTGTTTCTGTAATTATGTTATTCACTCCTGTTATCAGTATGAAATTAAGGCAAAAACCATGACTCTAATCCCAAATCAAAATGACCTATAAATAACTCTTCCCGTACCTGCAGTCAGGTTGCTTCCTTCACATTTTTCCAGGTTTGGGGGGGCCCAGCTGGATAGCCTGCTTCTGGATTCTTCAAACCCCGCTCGACTTCCTACCACATCCCAGTAATCACAGAAGAATCAAGGGTCCTGTCTTTAATTAGTTGGCCGTGTTAGTCTCCTGACTATTGCCAATGGGAGTAATCAGTAATCACTACTAACACTCCCAATGGGAGTAATCAGCTAATCAGTAATCAGTAATCATCAATCAGCTCACATGCTTCATTGATTCATTGATTGCTTCTTGATCACATTGTCTAGAAAACTAATAATGAGGTGTTTTTTTTTCTTTCAAATGAATGCAATCTCCCTTTATCCTTTGGAATATAGACATAATGATAAATATGAAATTACATAAAGTGAAATAACTTATTTTTTAATTCAAAACTAATGAAACATCAATCCCTGTTAGAAAATGTAACCGTTATTTTGATAAATCTTATACATCTTTTAAGATAAAGAAAACTTATTTTGAAAGGCCACTGTTAGCAGTGGATGCTGTCATTTTTGCTATTTTTTAAAAGATTCACCCACTCTACTAATTTCTTTTTGAAGGCAGTAGTAAAACATATCAGAGAAGAGTGCTTTTGGAAGCATCTCCCTTTGTTGTATGGCTGCCTTAAAGCATATTTGTACTTGCAGGATAGTATATTGTCTGAAATAAGCCCCCGATTTTCTGTGAATATATCCCCCCCATGGCCACGCAAACCGGTGCCTTCTTTGAGTGAAGTGAAATCGTGAGTTTACATAGTTGTGTTACATAGCTGCGTTAGGTTGACCCTGAATAGTAGAGCCCATTCAAGACCATGGTATTTGGAAGTTTTTAAATCCTAAAAATGTGTCCCATAAATGATATGATTTAATTATACTCCAGATGTTTCATCTAAAATACATTTTCTGTCTTTTCCTTTTCACTCTTGTCCTGCCTTTTAATGATCCATCGGCCTACAGTGTCTTTACATCCAAAATGCAAAGCAGACAAGTGGGCATCTCAGGGAAGAACATGACCAAAAGCACCAGCATCAGCGGAGACATGTGCTCGCTGGAGAAGAACGACGGCAGCCAGTCTGACACCGCAGTGGGTGCCCTGGGCACCAGCGGCAAAAAGCGGCGCTCTAGCATTGGGGCCAAAATGGTAGCTATTGTTGGCCTCTCCAGGAAGAGTCGCAGTGCTTCTCAGCTCAGCCAAACGGGTAGGCATTTTTATGTTACTTTTGACTTCATGTTTGAGCTGTAATTAAAATACGTATTCTCTTCTCTTGCTCATTTCATCGCAGTAATTAATGGAAGATGACATGTTCCAGAGAGATGGGGCCATTTTAAGCTAGTTGACCTTTCTGCACATGAAACACTAACTTTGTTTTTCAGTGACCAATGAACCTGCTTTGAAGTGAACCTTGGCCCCCGTTCTCGAGATGCGTGTACGGTCTTTGCTCCTCAGGGAGGAGTTAAGCTGTGGTGGCGGGATTGCCTGTTGCTGATGCTTCGTAAAGATGCTCTGATCTGTGAGATATTTGCTTTCTTTAGGTTCCTCAAGAGGGAACCAGCCAAATTAATTTCCATTCCCAGCAAGTTACCGTCATGAAGATGACACCTCCTATGTTGTGTGAATAATGTAGTTCTTTTATTGCTGACAACCTAACTTCTTTTTCAGTTTGTAAGCAGCATTTACCAGTAGTATCAATTTTCTGACTGCAGTTTTTATTTCCCTGTTAAAACTTCAAGCAGCAATATTCTCCAGCAGCAGGGATGGAGGAATTTTCTGCTGATAGTGAAGATATTCAAAGCCTTGCTACTTTCAAATTCCGTTTCGAAATCACATCTGCAAAAATAAATTAGATACAGCACTCCTACTCCTACTCAGAAAAGCCACAGTTAGCAATTAAGAAATTTGTGAGTCAAAGCAACGTCTTTTCAAATGGTTGTTGATAATTAAACATTAAATCCCTGGTATCTTGGAAATAATAACATATCTTCCACTTAACAAACAAACAAACAAAAGCGTGTAATATGGTGTTTCTTTTACAGCAAATAAATTATAGGCAAATGGGTGAAATCTCATTTATGTTTGAATTACTAGGGTTCTAATTACTAGGGTTTCTAATACACAGAAATCAGGACAAAAATCTGCAACACAAAAGAATTTAAGGATACGTTAATTCCTGGACCCGGCTAACCTTCATTTTATATAACTGTAATAGGGATTCTGGAATCTGAGTCTTATATATATACTCTTATATTGAAATAGTTATTTGATGGTTTTCCTGATATTGTGGTTGTAACTCACTATGTTTAATGTGCCAATTGACATAGGAACTTTTCATTTGGTGCTTTAAAATGTTACATTTTAATATAGAAATAATTTATGGACATAGAGATCATACTTTAATTATTTTTAATTTACTTATGTTTATACATAATTAGCTATGTTGTACTAAAATGATAGATGTTGGCCTTTTGACATTGAAGTTGGATTTTTTTGTATCTCTCTAGCGGTTAGAACTTCATTGCATTTTTTTCTTAAAATCTACAAACATCTGTAAACCTAAAACTTGTCTAAAAATAAAGCCTGAAGCCTATCAGTTAAAAAATTAAGAACCTGTAAAACACACATTAATAAGATTATAGAAGTTAGAGATTATGTGGTATTAAACTAAATAATCATTTACACTTATTCAAGGTTTCTTGATAAATATTGAGAGCAGGCACAGAGAGCAAAGATGGTTTTTATCATTGTAAAAATAAATATCATTGTACCAGTGAGGATTTTCAGACAAGACTGCTTACTTACCTTCTAATGAGTAGAAAACTCGGCAAAATGGGACCTTTTTAAAAAATAGTGAAATTATTCTGGGTGATATCATACCAATCATTGTAAATAATAATTTGCATTTATAAAGGTATACGGATCAGTACACATGGCACATGCTAGATTGTGTGTTCCTTTGCCTGTTGATTGTAAACTCACCTGTAAAGTCAGCATTTCTAAAGATTACATATGACTTGCTAGGGATTATAACTTAGCAGAAAATACAGAGATAATAAGAAGACTCAGATTCTATTGCTTACTCTGAGTTATATGTGATAATCACATATGACCTCTTTAAAAACCTACCCGACATATCTGACTCGTAGAATGTTCCTCTGACAAAAGAAATTAACACCTCCTGTTCTAACAAGGTTTTTATAAGATAATTTTTTTTTTTAGTTTATAAGAAAATGCTTTGAGAACTTAAAATCATTTTGTTGGTGTAAGACATCATAGCCAATTTGGCCTCATAAGGGAATCAAGGACTCTGTTTTAGACACGTTGATTTTGAGATGCCTCTTTAGACTTCTAAGCGCAATATGGTAAATATTGGTAAATTGGTTATGAGTCTAGAGCCTAGTAGGTCAAGGCTGAGGATGTAATTTAGGAGTGATCAACAGGTAGTACTTAAAGCCATGGCACTGAATAAGATTACTGTAAAGTAACTTGTATCAAGAACAAAACTAAAGATGGGGCGCCTGGGTGGCGCAGTCGGTTAAGCGTCCGACTTCAGCCAGGTCACGATCTCGCGGTCCGTGAGTTCGAGCCCCGCATCAGGCTCTGGGCTGATGGCTCAGAGCCCTGGAGCCCTGTTCGGATTCTGTGTCTCCCTCTCTCTGCTCCTCCCCCGTTCATGCTCTGTCTCTCTCTGTCCCAAAAATAAATAAACGTTGGAAAAAAAAATTTAAAAAAAAAAAAAAAGAACAAAACTAAAGAGAGAGCTCTGTGATACCCCAACATTGAGAAAGCAGGAGAGAATTCATCAAAGAAGACTTAAGAAAGAGAAGCCATTAAAAAAAGAGAGAGGGGGGCACCTGGGTGGCTCAATTGGTTAAACCTTCAACTTCAGCTCAGCTCATGATCTCCTGGGTTTGGGTCAGCCCATGCCAGAGCTCTGTGCTTTGCAGGCTCAGAGCCTGGAGCCTACTTTGGATTCTGTGTCTCCCTCTCTCTCTGCCCCTCCCCTACTCATGCTGTGTCTCTCTCTGCCTCTCAAAAATGAATAAACGTAAAAAAAGAGAGAGAAAGAAAAGGAAAGGAAAGAATATGGTATCTTGGACACCAAATGAAGGAAACATTTTAGAAAGATTTATCAATGTGTCAGGTGCTTCTGACGGGTCAAGTAAGAAGAAGACTGAGAATTGACCATTGGATTTGGCAAGATGGGGAATTTGGTAAACCTTGACAAGCCTTGCAGTGGTGGACAAAGCCTTTTGGAGCAGGTTTAAAAAAATGGGAGTTGAGGTAGTGTCAGTAAGAATAATACCAAGAATAAAAATAAAAATATCTAATACTTACTGAACACTTTTATGTGCTGGGACTACTCTAAGCACTTTACATGTAAATCATTTAAACCTCACAATAATGTAATGAAGCAGGAATTAATTACTACTCTCCTCATTTTACGATTTTTTGAGAAAACCAAAATGAGCAGAGGGGAATAACTTCCCCAAGTTTACCTAAGCTGAAAGGGTAGAAGTTGGAATTTGAATCCAGACAGTATGGATCTGGAGATGTCACTTTTTACTCTATCATAGTCTAGACCAGCATTGTTCAATACAACTTTTGGCAATGTGGGCAATGTTCTGTATCTCTCCTATCCAATATGATATGTAGTACCAGCCACGCGTGACGAGCTTTTGAAATGTGGCTACTGTGATTAACTGAATTTTTTATTTTTTTTCACTTTTAATTAAATTTAAATAGGCACATATGACTAGTGACTACTGAGTTGAAAGTTTCAGATAATAACAGCTCTTTCCAGGACTGTTGATTAAAAAAAAAAAAATGGAAATTTAGAAACAGGACCATAGCTTGGGAGCATTGAAGTCAGAAAAGAGTTTTGTTATTTTAGTGACAGGATACTTGTGGGAACAACTTAGTAGTTGAAAGAGTTTTGGATTCAGAGCTTAAGTGGAAATCAGCGTTGTGGTCTGTGGTCAGTCAAGAAATTATGCTCTTTAATTTTCATCTTGTAATAATTTCTAAGGTTACATGGGATTTTACATTTACTCTAATTATAACACTCAATAACTGTAATCATTTATTTATTTGTCTATCTCCTGGCTAGACTGTTTTTTCTTATCTTATGTATCTTTCTCAGTGTCTGGTATAGTTTCAAATATAGTGATCTTCAGTGAAAAGCTCATGTACTCCTTGGGGTGCATGATTAAGTTCTCTGGGGGAAATGGAAAGAAAACGATAGAACTTCTTTTCATTTTTTAACTTAAAAGACAAGAAATTAAGCATTGCTAATGTTTAGTACACACTTCACCCTTGTGTTCATGGTTGGTCTGGATGTCAGATGGTCAGTGTTGCATGCCTTTCTGCAAGTGTTAGTTTTGTTAACCATCAGAAAATGGGCAAGTGGCTTAAAAAGATTACTGCGAAGAAACTGTGGATTAAATATAATAGCTATTGCAATTGTGCAAAAAAGGTAGACCTGAAACTTTTGTTTCTACTCAAGCTCTTCATCAGCCATTGATGAAGTACAGTGGCACTCTTAAGATTTGACAAGAAGCTCACTGAAAAATTCTAAGTTATTGGGGGAGGCGCCTAGGAGGCTCAGCCACTTGAACCTCCAACTTCCGCTCAGGTCAGGACCTCATGGTTCATGGGTTCAAGCCCCATGTCTGGCTCTGTGCTGACAGCTCAGAGCCTGGAGTCTGCTTTGGATTCTGTGTCTCCCTCTCTCTCTCTGCCCCTGCCCTGCTTGCGTTCTCTCTCTCTCTCTCATAAATAAATATTGAAAAATTTTTCAAAAAAATAAATTCTAAGTTATTGAGAAGATTAATAAAAGATAGATTTACATCCACTATTATTAATGATGAACCCCTTACCCTGTGTTTATGCTTTATATGGTCTATGATATGTCTTTGTGAAGTTTCTTTTTCAATTATGACATCACTCAAAATAAGTATGAGAAAACCAAATTTGGAAGCAGACCTTCAAATTACTCTACTTATTGCTAACATAATGCCAGCTGCTATACTATATAAACTATATATATACTATATAAACCTTGATATATATAAAACTTAGTTCAAAAGGACTTTATTTATTGGGCAAAAATATCAGTTCACTGCAGTTAATCCCAGTGGGCCAGTGGCCTTTCTGTGATCATTCAGGGTTTGAGGCTGTTTCATCTTGAGGCTTTACCCTCTT